GTTCGAATGGGATCACTGGATGTTGAGATATCGGATTCCAAAGTGACAGATTCATTTTTGAAATTTCCGGTAATATACTGTAGGGGTGTGTACTTTTCCAAGTGGCTGTGATCCGTATCATAGAACAGAATATCCAGAACATCTTTGACTCTACTCGGGATGTCTTACACTATCCAACGTCCATTTCACAGTCTCTCAGAAACAAACCTGCCATTCTAAGGTGTACAATTGGTGAATCGAGCGTATTCTTTCTTCAAAGGTGCTAAACAGCAACCGCAAATCAGTAGTAATTTCTGTGATATTGATGTTCTGTACATGCTAAGTGCTTCATTAAGTCTGTAAAAAAGTATGGAAATATACGAAAAAGTCTGATATGTCTGTAAAAGACACGTAAGAGGTCACTTTTTACGCGTTTTACAGACATATAAACACGCAATTTGAGTATGTAAATGTATGAAATGCAGGATAACAACCTTTTACATATGCGATTTACGTGTTTATATGTCTGTAAAACACACGTAAAAAGTGAGTTTTTACAGACATACCAAGACTTTTTCGTATATTTCATTATTTTTTTACACGCATATATTGAAATTTACAGGCGTATTTTTCTTATAGGGAAAGAACAGTTTGTGTAAACACCAATTTTTTCCTTGATCTTTGTAAAAAAAATCATCAAAATATTTGCGACCGAATCAGTTTTCCAAAGGCTGACTAATGAGTTCCTAAAATATTTCAGACGAATATCCATCAGAAGATTGCGCACAGGGATCAGTGTGATATCATTCTTTAGTGCTTCTGACATGTGAAGTTATTACCTGTCTTAATGTTTTTTCGGATGCGATGTAATGTTTAAACTTCTTTAAAAGCTGAAAAAGAATTACACACAAAATGAACAATTTACAGCTTGAATAAAATGAAAAGATTGACCGCAAATGTCCGATTAATTGACCAATTGTACATTTAGAAAGGGCTTCGTACTGGTGTTGGAGCATCAGGTCAGTTCATGTGTTTTTTTATACTATATAACCAATTTTCTCTATAAAAACATTTTTCTAGCAGTTGTTTTTGATGTCATCACTAGCTCTTGAGCCGTAGTCAGACCGGGACCATGGATTACTGCGTCCGCGATTTATGATAAGTTTCGAACGTGGAGATATTGTGATTGTTGCTCTCGTTAAACCGGAAATGACCTAAAACGCCGGAACAAACAAACAAATATTTGATCTCCCGTTAAACCGTCTCCCACTAAACCGGACAAAAGTTCAGCCCAACCTATCTGGTTTACGTTAAACTTATTGTATACAGTATACTTCAATCCATAAAACAAGGCTGTCTTTTAGATATGTCTATTAGACAAAACAAGTTTAGACATTTAAACAATTCTAAGAATCCTCTTATACATCAAATGGACTTTACTATCTTATATTAAGTCACACGGTATTGTAAAATGTCTAAAATCTTCTCTAGATCCGAGAGTTTTAGACAAATAGGTAATATTTTTTTAGACAGGTCTGTCTGTTTGTCTAAAATATCTATTTGACAACTTTGCGTAAAGGAGCACAACTATATTTCCTTGAATATAAATAATCTTACCTGTACATATAATGTTATTAATGTTCTACTGAATAAAAGTAACCTTGAGTTATATATTATTTTATAATCATGATGTTTGCCATGTAAATGAAGACTTTTCTCGTTCATTTTCGGTCAAATAACGAATTAACATAATAGAGTTATTTTTAGCGGAGTTATTAAAAGTTATAGAACCAATGACAATTATTTTAAATTTAATACATGAATAGATGCATGATTTTATCTTTGTGCATACTGTATGGAATTTTGCAGGCATGCATACATACTGATACATTTTAAAGTTAATTTATCGTTATTATATATATAAAGTTCTAGCTCTAGGTATAATAGATTATACTGTACCTAGTGAGTTCTTAGCATTTGTTTGTTTGTCAACTTTTTGTTTGTTACTAACGGAGATTATGTGCAGCTTCAGCCTTTGCTATATCCAGAATTAATCACATTCGCGTGGTGGATTGTCTTTGAGGCGCAAGCATAAATATCAAAGAACCTTTTTACGTTCACAATGACAATATTTATTGTAGCACGGCATACCGAAAATCTTGAAACAAAAACGAGTAAATAATAATATCGATATTAATATTATCGCACACAATCCTAAATTTTAAGATTTAATTAATTGAGGCAAAATGAATTCTTTTCTTCGAAAATAAAAAAAAATAAAAAAAATAACTATTGTACCTTATTAAGGTGACGTATTGTGAAATGTATTCATTTCTACTAGGTTACGTATTATTAAGCCATCAATTTAAACTAATATCAGCTGTATCGGTATGTTAATAATCTTTGCATAATGTAGTGTCTAGCATTTTCCAGTGGTACTTTTTTAGTAAAGATAGGCAAAGTATTTATGCAAACAAATTTTTGAGGAATTTCTCCCCCCCCCCCCGTTAATTTATCGCAAACTATCTGTTCTCAGTCATTCAAAGAACAATATGAATGCGATTATTTTGTCTGTAAAACACGCAGGTATGTAATCATTACTAGCATTTTAATTGACACGAGATTTTACGCGCGTTATTATGCTTTGAAAAATCAATTAGCTAAATGTCTGCTTGCTTATCTGTATGTAGCATTGTAAGAATCTTCACATACTATAGCACACACCAAACGAGAGCGTGTGTATGCAAACGAGTTGGAGATATTTGTATAAACACCAAAGAATTTCCAATCCTCGCTTTGCACAATCATTATTGCTCACATTTGCGGTTTTTCCGAGTACAAGCTTTTTTGTTTTCTATTTCACAACGTCAAATATATATTGCATTTATGCAGAAATAATATGTACCTTTATTTCGTTTAGCCCCTTGATAAATTTTTAATTCTGGAATTCAGAGATAATAATACACCGAATTGATGATGCATAATGATTGCCAAACTATTTGTCTCAACCATGTGTTCATTTTTAGTTATGACCTGGCATTACCTGTGGAATTTTGTGTAAAAAGTCGGTTTTAACCCATGTACTTACACTTTAGCGTTAGAGAGAATTGAAAAATCCTCTATTATGATACCTACAAAATGTGACCTGATAATATTCGTATTGCAGGTAGCGATAATTGACAATCACGCAATAAAATCTGAGGATAGCTTTGAAACAGAAAGAGAATAATCGAAAAGAATTTATTCTCCCATTCGCTTCAAATTAGAATCGGCTCTCACGCATAACTAAAAGAAAGAATTACCGGAACGACAAGGACAGTGCAAGTACGGATATTGCTTCCAAAATTGACAGTAATCTTCGTAATTCTGTCGATTAAACATGTTTCAAAAGTTGTCATTATAAATTGACACACATCAATGAATTTCCCTATTGGAACAAATTTTTATTATGTTATGAATCGATGTCTATTTATTATTATGATTTCTCAAGTAACGATCTTATATATCAGAAAGAAAACAGAAATTCCAAGATTAACAAATACAAGTTTCTTTGGAGTTGAAAAGTGAATCGTCTAGCGACTCTTTTTTCCTAACAGCAATATGCGAGATTGAAATGTGAGCGCGGTTTTGGGTGAATGGTTTCTGATTCGTACCAGAGAATCTTATGCGGATTATATGAAAATTATTTTGACGTTATTAATGCTTCGAGAAAATTCTTAAATAAATTGAAATGTAGTATATATTATTCTATTGATAGTTTATTTTTTGGTGTAAAATGTATGTGTGTGCGCTTATGAAATTAGTATGTACATTAGAAAGATAAGGAGATTGTGATACATTGGCTCTATCATTAGAAAAGCACCAACTTTAAATAGCATTTATACAGTGGGTGAAGAGATGTTAATAATCTATGATCAATATTGATGCTTAATTAACCGTGCCAAAGGCAGACTTCCAAGGATGCAAATAATTTTTGGAAAAAACAATAAAAAAGAAAAGAAACCAATTGTTCATCGAAGAAAAAAATGAAAATGTGAAAATTCCATTCCCTCGACAGGGGGAAAATGTTCTGTTGTGTGTGTATAGTATAAATAGTTACCCAGTTAAGATCGTAAATAATATCACTTGCTATCTGATAGATGACTCGGAAACACATTTCTGATCGGAGTCACCGGAGAACCGAGAACTATGTCCTCCTCTTTCTTTTTATATAAATCATTTGAATTGTTGAATGATTCGAATGAATTCAGACGAATAGATGATGAAGAATGTATATTAACTTTACTCTCCACCTCGTTTCTCATTCTTATATTACGATCCGGAAAGAATACAACATTAGGCGACGTCGTGTATTTTGAATTATCACCGTGTACCATAATCAGAGGAGCACTTGGATGACAAGACGTTGCACTTACATCTTTAAATGAAAGCGAAAGTTTTCGTGAGTGAACAGATGTATTGACAGAAGGAGGAATTGTTCTTCTATCTTGGAGACATGAATGAGAAGCAGGTTTACGAAGAATTGGTTGTCCTATGCCAAGGTTAGGTGATTGAGGTCGAGATCTTTGAAGTTGTTGTGTTATAGATGGTAGTACAATCGTAGAGATTGGACGTTCTCCAGTTTGATATCCACTGTGCATTGAATCTATTGAACTTTTACGAGAATCCAGTGAAGGTGTATCTTCACTCAATGAATCTAAAGAAGGTCGTCGTGATGATAAAGTTGACGATGAACCGTTCATACTTCCATTACGAGAATAGAATGAACCCAATGAACCATAACTTCCTTGTCTTCTATGACCACTTGCGTTCAAGTCCAATCGATCGAGCACAATATCAACAATATTTCGATCACCTACTCGTTTTTGGAGTATTGCAATCCACTGTCGCATCTCCCCTTCGGATTCTGCATAGGCGATAAATGAATTTGGAGATTTGACATCACGATAACTAAGTGTTGAGCGTACAGAGTCGGATGAACGTGCGAGTTTTTCGATACGAATGCAATACTGTGATTTTTTAGTAGCCGAGGGGTCGTGAACTACGGCATTGTAAGAAGAGAGATGGATTACGCCTGATGGTTCAGAAGCACCCTAAATTATGCAATTAATAAATTAGTATCTTACAAATGAATTGATCAATATAAATTAAAGATAAACTACCTGTTGACGATAATAGTACAAATAATTTCCTTTCACTTCACACCATCGTTTTTTCCATGTTTTCCGTAGAGCATTGCCGCCCTGTTTGGTCAACCAGCCAGACTTTGTTTCTTCAGGTATGAACTGCATTCTTAGCAATTATATGTATGCTTATGGAAACACGAGTCTTTAGTATTGGATGATGTGTGATTGGAGATTATACGAGGTAAGATAATGTACTATTATGTTTGTCCAGCAAAGTGAAATGAATGAGAAGGATAATAGGTGGTAGTATTGGAAAGAAAAAGGGTGTGGAGTAGTAGCGATAATATTTAAAGAAAACAATGTTGTCAGAAATATTTTCCCAGATAATTTATCAATGATATATAAAGGAGAGCAAATAGACAACAAAAGTTTTCGTTTTCAGCTGTAGGTGTGTATATATATATATATATAAATATATATATATAAGAGTAGTAGTATGTATGTATAAATAAATAAATATATACTGTATGTGTTTAAATATTACGCTTTGTGTGAAGAAAAAATTTTCAGGGTGGGCAAGTGGATACCTTTATAATATTTTGCAAAAGTAAAGTTTGTGTACTGTTGTACAATTGGTTTTATTTATATTTACTACGTATCTATTTTTACTTTAAGAAATACAATATCAATACTCTGGTGGGAAATCCTCAAATAATAAAATAAAAGACGTACTACGTGTAATAATCAATAATGCCAAAGGCCAAGTTTTTTACCACGTTGCGTAACGGAACAAGAAGAAAATAATTAAAATCGTCGCTAAAGTCTATCAAACCTGAGTGTGACGGACGGTCATAAGAACAAAAGGAGTGAATAATGATAATGATAACGATGACGACTACGACTACGACTTACGACTACGACTAAGAAAACGATGGTTAGTGTTAACAGTTCCTCTTTATTATTATTATTATCGTATATATGTACATATAAGGTGCATACAGTAAATTATGGATTTCTTTCTTTTGTGATGATTCATATAATGTCGATATGCAACTGCACCACTAGATAAATCATTAGTGCATACATAAAACTAACTACATGTAATATTATTCTACATTATCAGTAATGATTAAATGATATAATTTAATGTATTCTACTGCATACAATTGATTGTTGTCAAGAAGTGACAACTTTTGCCTATTGAAATACATTGCTGTATACATAAATAAAAATAAATAAACAGTAACAAGAGTTTGCTTTTTTTAAGGATTTCTTTGCACATCTTGGCAACAGCGCCAATAATTGCTGCCGATTTACCTAACACATTGGTATTATTATCATCATTATTATTATATCCATTATGTCCATTGTTTCTAAGTTTTTTTGTTTGATAATTTAGTAAACAGGCACACAAAATATATACAGGGTTTATGTTTGATGTATGAAATTTTGGTCATTAACTAAAAGAAGAGATCTAGGATACATTAAATATTGAGGATTTAAGATTTAATTCGTTACTGGCTTTTAGATAAGGCATATCTATTACGATAAGGAATATTAGGATTTCACAAAAGAAAATAAACTGTCTAGGAATAGAAACTATAAACAAATGACCATATAAAGGTCAATTTGCATAGATGGCACCGTGTAATCTTTATCCAACATGTAAATTACACAAGGATTTAGTAATTAGAATTTAGTAATTAGAATTTAGTAATTAGAATTTAATAATAGGTATATACGTACAACATGGATTACCCGAATCACTTCTCTCAAGGATCGAGATGCTACGACATAGCCATCATCGTAATATTATTATCATGATTGCAGTAAAGCATCGATCGGTCATTCTCCTATTTTATTTAAGGATAATTTAAAGATTTCTTAAACGAATGAATTCACCGATTTTTATCTTCGCATCATTCATCAGTCAGTTATTTTCGGCTCTAACGTATATTCTTTAAATAAGCGTGGTCAATAATAAAAACTATGTACTATTACGGACACTCCGAAAATCCAGTACGTAATCGTTGATATGCAGTCCTCGTCGTTCAATAGATTATCTATCTAGCATTAAAAAAAAATAATGAGAGGTCATTTGACATTTACATTTTTAAAGATTAATCGACGACTCCTTGAGGGGTTTCCTGGTCATTCAAAAAATAATAATAATTTCTGTTTGTATTAACGATAAAGGGTAAAATGCATAATTTGGTCAAGTGGATAAGAAGGTACGTGCGTGCCTTGAAAAAACACTGCGCGCATAACAAATCAATCAAAGTAAATACATGTACTGTATTTGATAGTGTCGATGAATAAACAATTTATCCGACAATTCTTTTTTGGATTACGTGTACCATTTTTTTTACATAAGTTCCCAAACGTTTCAAACAATAGTAATTACGGCTATAATAGCAATCGAGCAAGACGAAGCTTAGTAATAGTAGGGTGAATCAGTAATTAAAATCAATCAGTAATTCCGTTTTATGTTTATGTTTATCCATTGTATTATGTTTTAGGGCAGTATTTATATTTGTACACGTATAAATGATTGGATATTATTTATAGTAACCTTAATAAGTAAATTTTATCAATTAAAAGATTCACATAAAATAGATTAGTCTATTTTAGGTAGAATTTACTTTTTACACTCTAAAGACAACTGCAGTGGTTTATTAGATACATTTTATTTAGTCTTAATTTAGACTAGTTTCAAGTGATTTACATCATACAGCAGGAAATCATCAATTGCGTGATTGTCGACTTTGGCATAATTGACGGCTTTAATTTGTTCGATGCTACACTACAAACTTTATTTCTGTTATATGCAACGCCATCACTGTAAAAACATTCGAATAAATGAACCGGCCGAATATCATCAATCCATCCCTTTATTCTTTGGTACATCATAAAAACCTCTGAATGTTCATTTTCATTTTCACTTTCATTTCTTTTTTTGTTTGTTACCCTTCAATTTTTCGATTCCCAGATCCTGACAGGTTTTTTGTGTCATGCCACCCATATCGTATATACCAGCTGATTTTCTTAGAAAGATCGAATTCGGTGAATCTTTCGGCGATTAGCAATCTCATATGCCAAATGTTGTTGTTTTGGATTAAAAGACAATTCTATACTTCTTTGCTTTGTTGTTTACTCGTTCCTTAGTGGTACATTAATCAATTAATTCATCGATTCCGACTCAAAATCAAGACCAAACAAATAATAACACCATAGTTTCTTTCTTTCTTTATTTGTGGGGGTTAACATTTGATTTCACAACTTTTTGTTTAGTAATGTATGTGCGCAAAAAAATGATGGAAACATGTTAACGTTAATTGCAATAATTTAAATTCAATTTTGTGACTTTTTGCGGATAATTACAATATGCTATAATTGTCTATTGTACTCGCTTTAATTTTTTAAATTTGACATTTGTATCAACGTTAATGAATGCAAATCATTCGTGGTCACACCAAAACTTTTGTTAGTTTCGGATGCACCTGACATGACATATCGATATACATTGTCTTTAATATAGGGAAAGAGATTTACGTATTTCATTTTTCCAAGTATCGAGAAAAACATGGACGTGTTTCTTTTTACTTTGTATGCACAACACGGTTCTTACATCGTTTTTGTTGAGGCAAAAAATTTATCCTTTATAAAATCTGAACGATTGTTCTATCTACGTATAAATGTTTTCACAAAAGAAACCGTCAAAAATCAATTTTCCCTCTTTGAATACGTATGCATAGGGCTTGGCTTGAAAATAAAGAAGCATCATCAACGAACAGTTACATACCGATGCATGTATCGGTATGTATGTATGTATGTATGCAGCAAATAGATTGGTATTGGTAGAAGGTATTTGTATGCATTTGTATCAATATTTTTTCCTTATTTGGATTTTCGGTCATTATCATTTATGAAAGAATTTAAAGTTAGTATTATCATAAATAATCAATTTTGCTAAAAATACCAACAAATTGTTATTATTTGGATAACAGTATTTAATACAGCATAAAATGTTTATGATAATTAAACAAGGAAAAGGATTGAAAAACGTAAAGGGTCACAATTTCATTTTCTCTGTGGAGCATCAACTTTTTAAGCATACTCCATGTGTTAAAAAATAGCAAATAAAGCCGAGTCATACACACATTAATGATAATAGAAAATTTCATTCTAAATAAAGCACAGCAGATTGGGAAAATCCTTTAGCAATGTATGCGGTGATGTCATTAATCTGAACACGAGGTTATCGTTATGATAATTTTTTTTAGACAAATTTTAGGTTTGATTAAATATTCACGTTGAGTAGTATCTGAACCATTTTTTTGTATATATGACACTCTCCAATACATGTACAAGAGGCATGTGTTTTCACTAAGAAAAATGCAATCTAACATTTGTGTAATGCGAAAAATTAAAAATTAAACCGGTTTTCCTATCGATTCACAAAAAATCCCTGTTAGAAATTGTCGCGCGTCTAACCACAATTACTGTATTAATAATCCAATGCAGTGCTTATATGGCTAATAATATTCGGGTATTTGCGATTTTGTGAGAATTATCAACACGCGAGAATTTACATTTGCTTTAAAGGTTTTGTCTTAGTTTGAACGAGATTCTAAATAAGTAAAAGAAGAGAAAAGACACTTTCATTCTTGTATCAAAGATATCAATGAAGCCTTGCACATAGTCAATAGTTTATCGGATTATAAGAACACATTTTCTCGCTTTAACTGGAAGTAAAGGAATTAATTTGTGACAGAAAGTAATTCAATTTTTCATTCTCCTTTTTTGATTATGCCGAGTGAAAGCAAGTGTTTCTCTTGCATATTTGCGACGTATCAAATTAACAAACTGATATTGATATTAATATAGACAATACAATTTTTTTTACAACAAACGATAAAGTAAGTAAATTACTTGGATTGCAAAGAAATTAATGTAAACTAAATTTATGCCTCATTGAGACGTATTTAGATTTCAAGAGTTCACTTAGACAAAAATCATAGTTACAATTAAAATGATAAATCAGTCTATAACAATTTATCAGTACATTATTTTTTACTGTAAAAACAAAAAACAATTGATTGTATTTACGTTTTAACGAGAAATAAAATGTTTTTTAGTAACAGAAATACTCGAGCTAACCACTTAAAACTGACCCCTAAAAAACTTGCCGAATGGAGTAAACAGCAAAATGCGGATACCGTTCACGGAACTGAATCTGAAAGCAGCTTGGGTACTTTGCCCATTTTCTTTAAAGTTCCTGAATCTACTAATAATGAGAAAAAAGAAGAGCATACACAAGCAAGCGAGAAAGGAAAAAAAGCTGAAATTCACAGCATTCAACAGATAGATACAAATACTGAAGTTGCTCGAAATTCAAGCTCTCAGAGTCTATTTATTCAAGAAAACTTGTCAAGTCGTCACCACCAGCAAAATGGCAATGTTGATTTATGGCAATATAAAGATAAATATGGAAATGATGAACGTTTACGAGATAGAATCGAAGAGAAAGATCAGCAAGAATTAGAAGAAATGACATTCGAAGGTATATTATCAAAAGAATTAAATCAATTTTCTCATTTGAATTATGAAAATGGAATTATTTAAATTAGGCGCCGAAGAAGGAATTGATGCGTTGGAATTGTTTGATGCAAGTAATTTCTAGTATTATTTATTATATTGCTTAAAATTCTAACAATGCAATCGCTAATAGAGTGCTCTAGGTTGTATCGAAGAATGTAAGATATTTTTAATTATGTATTTGCTTGCAAAAAAATCGGTTAATCTATCCTTTACTCGATCAAAACAGCTCTTGAAAAACTGTATGAATTAGAATTTGAAAATAAACATTCTCTTGACGTACTTGAAAATTCTATGACCAACATGGATCAAGAAATTCTACAAATGAGAGGTAAGAAAAAAATCACTCCTTGAAGAGAAATTCTTAACATGTTTTATCGTTATATGTAAATATCTTTCTTAGTTAGGATCGCTGACCTCACCAATGATTTTGCTATATCACCGCTCTTCGAAGAAGAATTGAAATTATTATTAGATTTGAGCTATGAATGATAAATGTACCTGTAATAAGTAATGTTTATTCATCAACATAGAAAATTAACTATTTACGTTTCATATCAGGTTTAAAATAGAAAGTGTACACTCAGTGGACAAAAGTTTGGAATCGGGAAATGATCAGCAATGTAGATCACAAAATTTGGGGTTAATATTAAATAAACTACAATAAAAAATATATCGATATCATTTTATTCGGCAAAAGTAGGGCTATTCATAATATATTTTAATATCGGGTTGGATACCCATTTGCATCAATCACAGCTTGCACTCTTCTCGGCATACTTTCAGCAAAATTTCCCATTCCTCTGCAAGTGCATCCATCAATTCTCCTTGATTTTTGGGATAAATTGGTCATGCACGAATTCGTCTTTCCAAAACATCTCATAAATGCTCAATTGGATTTAGA